GTAGATTCTTAATACAAAATATTAAATAAAGATAAAAGCAAAACCTTATCTTAAAAAAAATAAAATATATATATTTATTACTATATTAATTAATCAAAATTTATAATATAATTAAACTTATACTATATTACTAAAATATAATATTTTATATAAATATTATTATAAATTGTCATATAAAAGGCCCAGGTTTTTTATATTTTACTAATTTTAAAATTTATTATCTATTTATGCAAAGTTTCTATATATATATAGGGCTAATAATAAAGAATCACTAGTCGAAAGGGTGAAATTTGACCCCAAATCAGCCAGAAATTGGCCAAAATTTGCCCACAAATCAGTAGTTAATTGGCAAATTTTGGTTGAACTCAGGTCAAATCGGCCAAAATGATCAATCTAGATTTGACCCAAAAAACACCAGGTAAAAAAAAAAAGTAGCCAATTGTTTTAATCGGCTACTGATTGTTTATACAGGTAGCCGATTATAGGTCGAATGCTAAATTTTAATATTTGACCTAAAATCGGCTACCAAATTTTGGCTGAATATTTATAACAATCAGCCAAAATTTGGTAGCCAATTTTAGGTCAAATGTTAAAATTTAGCATTTGACCTATAATCAGCTACTTGTATAAACAATCAGTAGTCGATTAAAACAATCGGCTATCTTTTTTTTTTACCTGATATTTTTTGAGTCGAATCTAGATCGATCATTTTAGCCGATTCGACCTGAGTTCGACCAAAATTTACCAATCGACTACTGATTTGTGGGTGAATTTTGGCCAATTTCTGGCTGATTTGGGGTTGAATTTCACCTTTTCGACTAGTAAATGTCTTTAAGATTTATTTAAATGAATTTTAAAAAATTTAAACTAGCTTGATTAAAAAACTACTTAAATTTTTTTTAAACTATTTAAGATTAGAATTTAAAAATACCCAGAATTAATAATACCAATAGAGATTTGAATTGATCTAATTTAAAGATTTATTAAATTTAAAATTATATTTGTATAAGAATTATTTATATATTTGTATAAAATTTATTTGTTTAAATCAATTCCAAAATTTGCTAATTTTTAATTGTTTAAATTAACAGAAGATCAGCTAATTAAAAATCTAAAAAATATAGTCACATACTTAAGTGTATAGAGTATAACTGGCTAGGTAGGAGCCAGGAATAACTTTATTAGAGATAAAAGTAGGAATAGTATATATAATAGGGACTAAAATGATGATTATCCTGAAAAGTTAGTATAGTAGTTGTACTAAAAATCACTATAACAGACCAGACTAAAAATTAAATAAACAATAAAAGCTTAATATAAATATTTAGCCTGTAGTTTTCTGTCTGCTGAGGTAGGCTAGCTATTAGAATAGCAGTATTATGTGATCTTTGTATATAGTAGACTACAGTCAATATCTATGAAAATATAGTTATATACTTAAGTGTGTAGAGTATAACTGGCTGAGGTAGGATCTAGAGATAATTTTATTAGAGATAAAAGTAGAAATAGTATATATAATAGGGACTGAAACAATAATTATTCTGAGAAGTTAGCAATAGTAGTTGCATTGGGAATTACTATAACAAACCAAACTGAAAATTAAATAGATAATAAAAGCTTAATAATAAATATTTAGCCAGTGGTTTTCTGCCTGCTAAGGCAAGCTGGCTGTTAGAATAGCAGTATCATGTGATTATTTCAAGGGTTGACTATGATGCTGATATTTGGTTCTCTTTGTTATTTCTATATATTATTATTCTTATTATTTATTCAATTATATATATATATATGTATGAGATTTTTTTTTATACTTATATTATTGTCACAATGATTTATTATAGTTGCTAGTGTTCTAATTCTCCTTGGTGTTGTTGTTATTCATATCTCAGTTTCATTGTTGATTTTGGTTTGTTTATTGTCTTGTCTTATCTAATTTTGCTTGTATGTAGTATTTTTGTTTGTTCAGTTAAAGGTGCTTTTTGCTGTCATTCTTAATAGATCAGTTATGTTGATTGGGTTGTGGTTGTTTGACTATGGTCTGCAGTTTTTTTTTATATATATATTTGATTCTTCTTTCTTTTCATCTCTTTGTTTTATTTATTTTATTTTGAATATTATTAATTATTATAGTAATATCTCTCTTTTTTATCTCTCTTTTCTATTCTTTTATTGTCTGTTTATAAATATATATTTATATATTTTTTTTTTCTTTTTTTTTTGACTCCTTACTCTCTTTCTTTTTTTTTCTTTTGCTTGCTGCTCACTACCATTGCTGCTATATTTTGTTTTGCTTATTTCAGAAATGTTGACGCTGATTAGCTAAGCTTTATTCCAAATAATTATACAAAGGCTAATTAGTGTAAGCCTTGATTAGAATTGATATTATTGTAGCAAAATAGGCTCAGATATATTTGTAAAAGGACTTAAAGTCCTATCTGCTAATTTTTTGTACTACTACCAGTTGCATATTTCAAAATAATAGTTCTGTTGTACTATTTGCTCTAAAACTATATCTAGCCACATCTTTGTAATGTGAAGTTTTTTAAGTTTTGATATAAACTATTGTTTTGTAGCCTATATACCATCTGGTTTGACAAATAGCATTATATTGTATCTTGGTATGGAGCCTATACTTGAAGTTGTATATAGGATTTTAGAGTATATATGAGACAAAAGTTGTTATCTGTAGAATTAATAACTAGTGACATACAGTTAGCTAACTTATAGTTTTTTGTTTTAGTTAGTTAAATTGTTGCAAAGATATTGTTGCTAGTCTTTTTGAATCTCAAAGTATGCAAGGTTAGCACTTTAATATTATTATATTAGCTATTAAGTAAGAGTTTACTAAGTCTGGTCAAGCCATAGAATACAGTTAATGCAACGTTTAGAAGAAGGTTGTTGATATTAAGTTTGGTTCTAATAAAAGAAAGGTGGTTGTGGGTTATATGTATCTTTTGTTTCACATAAATATGAACATGAAATGTATTAATGATTTTTAAGAGCTAAGTTACGAGAATGTCAGCTTGAATATTGGTCTAGTTGTAGAAGTTTTTAGTATAGTAGTATTTTAATACCAACAGGTATAATATAATTGTAGATGGGAATATCTTGTTGTGTAAAAACTTGATATATTCTATAAAAGATTCTTTAGAAATAGGCTAGATAGATCTATCATTATTAGCCACTTGTTGATTGTTGCCAGGGTTTTATAATGCTTGATAATAGTTTCATATATCTTTTGGTAGGGCTTGGGATATTGAAAGAGTTGGATAATAACTAAAAGGAATATTGTATCAAATTTGGTTGAAGTAAGGAAGTTTAATAGAAGCAGAGTGGAGTGCTTTTATTGTTTAAAAAAAAAAATAACAGAAATTAGATCTGAGAAGTCATGAAAAGTGTTTGGGTGAGGTATCAAGCAAGAGAGTTGTTGGTAATAAATTCATAGTATCTATTGCAAGATAGAAAATTGATGTCGATGTTGCTAGAAACTGGTATATGCTTGAGCTTTATAAAGAAATTTTTATGAATTTGTATAGTATACATATGAGCTATTATGTTGTCGATATCTGGGTTCTTGCAGTAACCAGTATAGTATGCCTCAGCATTAGCTAAATTGTCTGTTCAAATAATAATCTTCTTCTTTTCCTATATAGGGGCAAACATATGTATAGCTATTAGAGTCATTAGAAGCTCGTGGGTTTAAATATTTACTGTAGCAAGATTGGTTGTTTTGTACTAGCTGAAGGCAGTGAAAAAGTTGTAACATATTGCGATTCTGCAATATTTGAGATATCCATAAAGAGGTTTAGAATAAGGAGGTTGCACTAGTCTTTGTCTTGCAACAGTAAGTTTGTATTATGAAGGTTTACTACTATATGTCAGAGGCAATAGGCTTTGTCAAACAGATATGATGCTTGAGGTTGCAAAATGAGTCTTGGGCCCTAATTATATATTGAATAAAAGGGTAATTCTAAAAGATTATTTGGCATGTCTAAACAAGTGAACCCACTAGCGATTGCAGCTCTTTTAAAAAACACCACTTTTTCATAACCTATTGATCTAGTAAAGTGATTGAGAATTGAGAATCAAGTAATGATTAATTATGCAACCATTGGTATTATGTAATAGTATACCGAAGTAAAGTTATAGATATGCATGAATTAAATAGGTAATTAATAAGTAGTGCAATGAAAATATTATAATAGAGTTAATAAAAAATAGTGTGATTAGTAATAAACAGTTAAAAAGTTAAAATGGTGTGATCAATAATTATGTAATTTGGCAATAGTTAAAATTTGTATTTAAAAATACAAATGAAATAAAGTGAATTAGTAATTATTATTACTTGCATAAAAAATATAAATTGTCAAAAGTAAATAAGTAAAATACTTACCCAGTTGAAAGAAGCAAAGTGTCAAGGTTGTTGATAGTTGAAGAAGTGCCTACTTTTGAGCTAGGTTGTTAGTAACTAAAGAGTTCTATTAACCCATAACATGAGAACCTATTAATCTTATCAAATAATTGTATTAACAGTCTAATAAATAGACTTAGGATAGTAGTATGCAGATAATAGTACAGAGAAAGAAGAAGGTATTAGTAAGGATGAAAATAAGTATCTAATAAAGATCTAAAATCTGATGCAACAAGTTGTGATACAAGTTTATTCGAATAGTTCTGGGATAATAGGGGTCATAATGATTCTGTGAAAGAGGTAAAAAACACAAAAGAAAAGGTAGCTAAAGCAAGTAAAAAGGAGAATGTGAAAATTAGTTTGACAAATAATGAAAACAGTATTAGTAGATTGTGTAGTATCAGATATTGTGATAACAAAAAGAATAAGATTGAAAGAAACAAAAATAAAATACTCATCTGTTACCAAAATGTCAATAATAAAAATATGAATATAATTACCACTATGAATATGAATTCTGTGATAAATGTCCTGCTTGTAAATATGATTTAGTAGTAGAGACCAAAAAAAATAATAGAGCATGATAGGTATGAGAAATGCAGTAGATAAGTTGGAATATAACATAGTAAAAGAAAAAGAAATAGAAGCGAAAAATAATGATATTGAAGATAGAGTTATGAAGCATATAGAGAATGATTATAGAAATAGTAAAGGTAAAATAAGTGTTAGTAAATTATTTAAGGGCACATAATAAGCTTAAAGAAAAAGAAAGAGCAAAGAAAAGGTGAACACTTATTTGAAATCTGAATTAGAAGAGTATTTGATCATGAAAAAATATTGAAGTACTTATACAGTATGCTGGGCTTAGTATTGCTTAGAACTTTGATTGCTTCACAAATGCTAGAAACTTCAGAGATGAAGTTTCTGGGCCCTAACTTATATTATAGTAATATACAGTATGTGGTAAACTTGTATGGGAATAAAGATAAAATAAATAATCAATCATTACCTTGTGCACATAATACATGTGATAAGTAAGTGATCAGAAATTGAGAATCGAATAATGATTAATTATGCAACTATCGATAATACATAATAGTATACTGAAGTAAGGTTATCGATATGCATGAATTAGATGAGTAATTAATAAACAGTATATGAAAAATATCATAATAGAGTTAATAGAAAATAGCATAATTAGTAATAAACAATTAAAAAGATAAAATAGTGTAATCAATAATTATGTAATTTAGTGATAGTTAAAATTTGTATTTAAAGGCACAAGTAAATAAAGTAAATTAGTAATTATTATTACCTGCAAAAAAAACATAAATCGTTGAAAATAAATAAGTAAAATACTTATC